ACTCTTTCCCAGTATCTCTACACTCCCTCTTTGAAGAACTAGAAAGGCGTCATCAGCTTAGGAGGGAGCGGAAAGTAAGTAAAAGTACCAAGAAACCTTGGAGGTAGCCGAGCTGTCGGGCAGCAAAGTAGGGGTGGTAGACCTCCCAGCTCGCTCGGCAAGTGTCGTAGCCAAGGGAAAGGTCGCGTGTTATCACGAACGACCCCCAATTTTGACGAAGATCAGCATCCTCATTTTCACTCCATGTTCATGATGGAAACCTGAGGGAAAGAAGGTATTCTTGATGACGACATATCAAAAACTCATCTTCTGAAAGGACATCTAGGCCGAAAAAGTATTTAAAGACTTCTTCAGCCCGGTGATGAGGTGCCGGTTGAGAGGTCAACTAAAGGCTGAGCGCTGCAGTGGATTGAAAATTAGGGATCTTTGGCTGAAGCGTGGAAAAATATACCTGCAACCAAAGTTGGAATACCCAAAAATGTTTGCTTTGGTACGGGTCAATCTTGTTAATGGTCGTTTCGGCCAAACAACGCAAGAGGTTGGCGATAATAGCTGGACTGAGCACCAGGGAGTGACCACTAGCCAGGGCTTCAGCCACAAACATATTTTTGACCAAGCATTTGTTTGACTTGGTACAACAGATAAACTTGTTGTACCAGTAAAATAGGAAGGCTTCATGCTTCCCTCTACCGGCAAAATGGAGGATGAGGGTGTTGTAGTTGAAGAAGTTCTTGTGCAACTTCTGAACTTTGTTTTTTGAAGGCTCTTGACCTTCTTGGCTTAGCGTCTTGATGGCCCGTTTGTCGAATAATATTTTAAGGACGAGATTCGACTAGCACCTAAAAAGGGCGGCATCTACTGGGATGCTCGAGGGAGAGGTCCCAAGGATGGTTAAGATGTCAAGAATGGTGGGGGTGATGGGCTGAAGGGAAGAATCATGGTGTTGGTGGCCGAGCACCAGAAGCTCAGAGCTGCCATAAAGAGTTCTTTATCCATGGCAATCTCCATGGTCAAAAGCTTAATGGTGTCTTGGATGCCGAAAGCCTCCCATTTTTTGCCAAATAACTTTTCCATCCATTTGACCCAAGCCACCCAGGTCGCGTTAGTCAAAGGCCAGGCTCATTGGGGCTTTGTTAGGCACCACTTCAACCAATCAAACCCTTGCAACAAGGGTGTCAGGCAATGGTCTTTGAAAAGGTTGATGATGGATGATGGCACTGCAACCTTGAAAAGCGGTCCCAAGATTTGATGAGTGGCGCTTAAATCGCTCTCGAAGCGTAGAGTCTTGACGACTCTCCGGTCAATGAAGTCCTTGCACTTGTTGCATTCGTCAAAGAGCTTGGAGATAACAGAGGCCATTGATGAAGACTTGAGTATTTATGGGTTAAGAGTTTGGGGTTTTCTGGGTTTTTGAAAGCGAAATGGCAAGAAGGTTTCAAGGGTTTTAAAAAGCATAAAGTACGAAGGGAAATGATTCAAGTATTTATAGGCATTTTGGAAGGAAGGTTAAACGTTCGATTTTCAAAATTGGGGATAGAATCGAGCGGGAAAGTTGCTAATCATTGTAGTTATTTAGAGAATCCAGGAAAAAAGACCAAGGTTCACGGTTTGAAGATGCACAATTGCGTGTTGCGACAGGTTTAGTGTAAAAGAGACGTTTTGACAGTTGCGCATTTTCGAGGGTCATGATTAAGGGCTGCTAGGTTAACCAAAGAACTAACACGTGGCAGGACGGTTGGGAGAATCAAGATCATGGGATCATGTCTTATAAATACGCATGGTGGTATTTCTCTAGAAGGTTCAATGATTGTTTTAGGTTAGTTTCGCTTCTTCAAGGCCGAGGCTCGAACCAAGGAGTGTAGGTCGACGACCTTAGAAGCAAGGGGGCAATGTTTGGGCCCAAAATATTGGTTTGGGTCGAGTTTAGAATTGTTCTCGGCCCAAAAGCGTTGCTCAGGGGCCTGCCGTGTCCTATCAGGATAGGGTAATTGAATCTTGATACAATAAGGAGTCTCAACAGGATGAGGATGCTGAAATTTAGGAATGAATACGGCCGGATAAGGGGTTGAGTTCAAACTCCTAATAGGAGTAGGACTGACCAAGATAAGATTGGATCGGAGTAAAGAGTCTTAATCCAAGTATAGGTTTGATTCGATCATAAGCAGGTTGGCTACTATAAATAGAGGGAGGGGTGCATCATTCAAGTCCTCCCCAATTCAACACACAAACTGCCCTGCGCAAACTCTCGCTCTACGCAAAACCTCTCAACAACCTTGAGATTTTTATTTTCTTTTTCGCCAACACATCTTCAGTTTGGATAAACAGCACTGTGAAGGCAATCGACGAACATCTTTAGTTTGGATAAATAGCATTGTTACCGTAGAATCAGCCGACCGCGAAGCACTTTCAGTTTAGATAAACAACACTACGACGAAGCCAACTGATTATCTATCCAAGTCTTGGTCGAGAAGGATTTTCAAATCCTTATTGGCAGGGGTTATCTCACGAGCCTTCCTGGCAAAGTGAGGTGTTACGAATCACTAGATTTGACGCATTGAATGCCGAGTTATTTTATGATTAGATACTCACAAGTTGGATTTAGAGTTCGGCATTCTGACGGCCGAACCACATTTACGATTAAGACATACATTTTCCTTGAATACTTGTGTACATATAGTCTAGTGTCAATTCTGCATGCTTATACTTTTACGAATATAATCACCATGACCGAATTCGGCGCCGACGATTTGTGAACTTCGCAGAACTAGCGGCCTTGTCTTTAGGCTTTAAAACCGAAAGGACGAGACGTGTTCCTTCCTTGGCTGCAGGCGCGAGATCAAGAAGTCAGCAGTACATCCGGCGCTACATAAACATATTTACTCCTCGGCCAAGCTTGGCCGACGAGTTGGCACGCCCGTATATAACCGAAGGATGTAGTTAGCTCATTAGTTACTCAGCATACGCGCAACGTAGGCTTGGTAGTTTTTAGGGTCAACACCATCATATGGTAAAATACATATACATATATACAAAGTGTATGTAGTCCAATTAGAGCAAGTCCAACCCACACAAATTTGTCCTACAAATGGGCAATTCATTCTTGCCCGAAAACCAGGAAAAAAAATTTAAAAAAAATAAAAAAGAAGAAGAAGAAGAGAAAGAGCTCTAGTTAGTAAGGGTGGGTTCAAAAAATCGAAAACCGAACTGAACCGAACCGAATTGAATTAATTAAATTAATATTTTTATTTAATTATCTGTTTTGGGTATTATTTTCTAAACCCAATTTGTAAGCCCAATTGTGCTAAGCTCAATGTGTTGCCAAACTTTAAGCCCAAAACATTAAAAAAAAAAACCTTTAGAAACTCTAAACCTTAACCTATTATTTATCCCCCTTCTTTTCTTTCACCTTAGTTGATTCAAATGATTTTGCCAATATTCAAGAAATTATATTCTCATGCACCAGTTGCTTTGAACTTTCCCTTAAATGTATTCATTGTTCTGTGTGATCTTATTTTACTTCCAATGGAATATCCAGTGGAACACACAAGATTTTATAACAATTTGGATCCTCATAGCACAAGCGTGAACGCTATAAAACCTAGGACACCACCTACATTTCTCAGTTCACCACAATATTCGTTGTTTTACTGGTTGAAGCACATCCAACAGTCAAATGTTAAAATTGGTGATGTTAAGGAGAGTAGCTCCATCTTTATGCATTTGTCAAGTTTAACTTATGTTATGATTGTGTTGGAGATGTTAAAATTTTAGATTTCAATTTTTTCCATTTTTTGAAAAAAAAAACAAAAAAAAATGAACCGAATCTTAATTTCTTCTTTTAAACTTAATATTTTCTGATTGTTGAACACATAGTGGAGATTTATAATCAAATCCATTAGCACATGTGGTATTATCTTATTGGGTGATGGGTCCTACATATATTCCAATGGCGACTGTTGAGTTTTAGGGAGAAGAGAGAGTCCACAAGTCAAAGTGTAACAAATTTTGAGTTTCAAGGAGTTACATGGTGATTTTTAAGTTACACAGAATAAAGTGGGATTAAAATCAAGTTTTAAGGGCGGTAGCTAAAAATTGGAACCACAAACCTTGACCTAGAAGATCTCTCCAGTTTGCCAATTTTATCCCCAGTTATGCTTCATTGGTAGCCAACCTGTTTTGAAGCCTTTCATTTTCACATCAACCGCATGGTCCCCAGTTTGCCAATTTTATCCCCAGTTATGCTTCATATGGTCTAAAATGATGGTCTTCCTGATATTTGCCTTTATAGTATAACTTACTTTTCTCATATCTTGGGAACGAAATACTTTCAATGCTATCCAATATCTAAAATAACAGACTTCATACTTTAATTTTAATTTATAAAATGGTGGTATCTTGTTTTATTTGTAAGTGTGCACTTTTGTTCACCACCTTCAAGTGGTAATAATGCTTACTACTCTGTTTATAATAGTTAGATGTGTTTAAATTTTGAGATTTGTTTTTATACACTACACATATTTCAAAATTTAAACTCATTTAACTGATAAATAGGATGATGAACATCATCATTACTTGAGATTGGTGAGTAAAAATATCCCCTATTTGTAAATAGGTTTTAGAAAGATTCAAACTTTGTGGATGTTAAGTTCCATATCAAATTATAACTTATTCATATAGAGCTATGTAAATTCACATTCTCTTAATATCGTTGTATAAAAAAAGTTAAAAAACTAAACCAATTTACAAAATTCCAATTAATGTAAAATAAAAATGCTACTAATCTTATCATACTTTTCATACCATATTTGTACGATTTTTCTAATATAGTTGGGACCCACATATGTTGATGAGTCATAACCTTATTAGAGAAGTGACACAAATATAATATAAGTATAACATTACTTAATGTAAAATACCATTTTCTTTCAAGTGCTGATATTGAAGGACAAGGGAACAATCATTTGCATGGAAAACAACAATTTGACCATTTGACCTGAAGATTCCCATAAACTGCGGCTCTCCATCAGAAGCCTCCTTACAATAGCATAACTATTTTGGAGGCTGAGAGCTAGCAAGAATAGGCACAGGATGATGGTAATGTTGATGGAATCCTCTCATGGTCGCTCTCACTTGCCGCTGCTCTCGAAGGCTGAGAGCTAACAAATCAAAACCGAACTACACCGAAATAAACCCTACATCATCATGTCACCCCTATCGATGATATAAACTGCCTAGATTCTAACCACCACCTTCAGAACCTCCACATACAACCACCCAATGCCGCGAGGTCAAACATTCTCCACCGTAATACTCACCACCTCTCTCTTGATTCTCGCGGTCTCAGCCAACTTGAGAAATCACATTCTTCATGTCAATCATGTTGACACGACGAACGCTGATGCTAATCCCAATTATGAATCACACGACATAGCTAATGCCGTCGACCACATTGGCAAGATCGTCGGCGGCATTGCCAACGACGCCAACAGCCCCAACAGCCTTGTCAATAACCTCGCCAGCGCGTTGAAACCAAACAAGGACAACTTCACCGAGTATACTCGGGCGGCGCTGGTCCAAGAGTTCATCATGGCCCATAACGAGATCCGAAGGGCAGAGAACATGAAGCCGTTGGTGTGGAACGACACGATGGCCCAGTTGGCGGAGGACTGGGCCAAGAAGCAGGATCACGACTGCGGAATGCGGCACTCGTCGTATCAAGGTATGGGGGAGAACTTGTTCTGGGGTTACAAAGCGCATTGGCTGCCGAGGGAGGCAGTGTATGATTGGGCACATGAGAAGCAGTACTACAACAAAGAAAACCGCGAGTGCGAGCCAGACAAAGCATGTGACCACTACACGCAGATCATATGGAAAGACACTGAACAAGTAGGATGCGCCCGATAAAAATGCTCCAGTGGAAGTTTGCTCGTTGTTTGTGAATATTACCCACCCGGAAATTGGGTTGGTATGGACCCCTATAACCCAATCCCTTTATCCCAGTTAGCTCATTATAACCTGTCGACAAAGTTGCCACCATCACCACCATCTTCAGATTCACATACTTCTCCACCGTTGTCGCCATCATCATCATCCCCGCCACCATTGCCTCCTCCTTTTGGTGAGGTTTCGGCTTCAAGTAGCAACACTTTTCTGAAACGAAAGGTAATTTTAAGGTGTTTTTGAACTTTAATCCTTTAAGAAGATTAAAATTTAATAAAAATCTAGTGTTATATTGAATATTAATTTTAGTCCCTTAATGTGTACTTAATTCAAATTCAAATTCATATTATATTTTTGTTTTTATATTATTACATTAAATTTTAAATTTATTATTATACACACTTTAATTCATTAATTTTATTTAACTTTCTCTAATTAGTGTACCTAAAAGTCCATATCATAATATATTTTACTAAATTAGTGCAACGAAATGCCCATACCTAAATATATTGTAGTAAATTAGTGACACATAAGAAAATATGTAAAAACATAAACGTACCAAAAATTTCGTACCTAACTATATAATACTAAACTAGTGTACCAAAATATCGGTACCTAAATATATTATACTAAACTAGTGTACCAAAATGTCCCTACATAAACATATTATACTAATTCAGTGTACCGAAATGGTCGTACTTAAATATATTGTAACGAATTAGTGGCATATAACAAAATATGCAAAAACATAAGTGTACCAAAAAATCTCTACGAAAATATTTTCTTATATAAGATGCTTATCATAATGAAAATTAAAATTTATAAAATTTTCATAAAATTTAAATTCATAAAATTATAAATAAAAAAGAGACATTAATACATATGCAGGCATTAAATAGAGTTTAGAAACTAAAATCAATTTTTAATCTTGTATATGATATTTTTATAAACTTCATCTTATTTAGGAATTAAAATCCAATTTTCTATAATTTTAATTACTTGGTTTTAGACTTAAGCATGCTAACATCGTTGAAAGGAGAATGAGAATCTAACTTCAATAGTAAGGAAATGATTTTATTTAAATTGTCCGAAAATATAAGAATCTAAGACACCAGAATTATAATTCTTCTTATAACTTGTTGCTATTTTACTCTCTAGGGTAATAAAGGTGCGGGTCATCATGTTCCACGTGGACAAAATGGACAAAGTCAAGGTCATCACGTGCCACCTCAGGGTAATCACGGGCAGGGTCACGGGCCTCATCATGGTGGTCACCATCGTCAACTTCAATCACATTTCTCACAAGGTCATCACGGGACGCGTCGCGGTGATCGGCGGACGCGTCATCACGGCCAAGGTCAAGGGACTCGTCGTCGTGGTCACCGTCGTCAACCTCAACCTCAAACGCAATCCCCACAAGGTCATCACGTGCCACGTCAAGGTAATCAAGACCCAATTAATCACGGGCAAGGTCAAGTGCCTCGTCGTGGTGGTCACCACCATCAACCTCAACCGCAAACCCCACCACTAGTCGCAAAATCCGACCGGATATAACACTAGGGTTAGCCAAAACACACGACCGCCACCACCTCCACTCTGATCGTCTCAAGCTTCACGTTCTAGATGTTGTAGTGGCATACCTTTTCATACGAGCAGCTGAGACGTTAATTTTATGGAGCGATTTTGGCACTCCTCTTTGGTCACTTGGACCCAAAGCTGAACATTTTGCAATTGTATCTGAACTCGTAGGAGGAGTAGAGTGCAGTAGGCTAAAGGAAGAGTGTTGAAATCACCTCTCCTACTTTATTACATCAATGGTGTTATTCTTTTTTCAACCATGCTTATTATCAGAACAACACCAACTTATGTACAGGTAAAGGATGCAAAAATTTCCAATGTGTTTTTGGGAATTACAACATTTTCCATGTGTTTGTAGCCCAAATAATTAAATAGCATGATGGATGCATATATATTTTCCACTCAGGGCTCGTTTGTGTCACATGATTGGGTTGAAATGGAGAAATCTCAAATTTCAAGATATATTGGAAGTTGAAATGAATAGTTTTCATTTGGAGGGGATTGGAAGACGATTAGCTATGAAGGATATTCATCCTTTTTAATCCTCCAATTTTGTGGAGGATCAGAGTGAATAAATTTATTTTTCATGAGTAATTCATCTTCTATCTTTTAGGTAATCCTAATTTTATAATTACCTATTCACTTTTAATTTATTTTTTTTATTCATTTCAATCCAATCTTGTATGTGTACCAAACGAGTCCTAAGAGAAAAGCAAAGTGACCGATTGATACACATTGTACAATCTAACAATTCAAAATCCCTATTCTGAATGGAAAACCTTGGTCTCTAACTGATAAGCATTGGTAAAGAAAGCAGGCCAACACAGATATGTTGAAAAAATGCTGCTAACTGTAGATGCACCAATCAGAAAGTTCATCACAACAATCTGCAGATGAATGGCCTCCAAAGGAGAAGCTCCTCCCATTATGAGACCAGTCATTGCGCCAGGAAGTGAGATGAGGCCGACGGTTTTCGCATTGTCCAGAACTGGAGACAGAGAAATCACCAGAGCTCTCTTCACCTGCTGCATTGTTGCTTGGCGCGGTGTTGCACCGAGAGCCAACGCTGTCTCTACCTGCATAAGCAAATATTGGTAATCCGTATGAGGTTTTTGACATTGTTCTCAATCTTCAAAATCCCAACTGGAAAATGACACAAATTAGCTAAATTATGATCGTATTGAACTAAATGTGACATTCATGATCCATTTGCAATTGCCAAATCATGAATATTGAACAATATAACAATGCAAGACTATATCTTGAACACAAGTTGTGGACTCCAGTGTCCGTTTGTGAATTTTTTTGTAGGCAGCACTTATGTTTGTCAGAAAAATACTTAGAAGTACTTTCTGAAAATCACTTTTAGTTATTTCTGTCAAAAAAAAAAATGTCACAAGAGCTTTTGAATATATGAAATCGCTATTGGAAACAGGCAGTTAGTCTTCCTGTGGAAAACTATAGGTAAAAGAACAGAGGGATTTGGTACCAATATGGTTTTCTTCGGGTAAGAAATTAACCTACCAGGTTCATTTGACTTCGAATATCATCTCGAAGTCTTTTCATCGTAACCCCAGTTACCGTCATTGAATTTCCGACCATCATTCCCGCAACAGGGATAATATATCTTGGAGTGAAGGGGAACACGCTCAGCAGCACAAGTAGCAACATTGTGACTGAAGTTCCAGCCAATATAGAAGCCCCAGCAACATACTTCCCTCTAGGAACATGCTTAGCCCTTTGCCCTGCTGTATAACCAGCAACAGTCACCTGCAGGCCAACAATCACAAAGATCCTCAAATAATGTTGGAACTTTTACTATTGAAGCAGTAAGAATAAAAAGAGATATGAAACAAATAGAACCGGTTATAACCTTTTAATTACAAACTGAATTGGAGCGACACAAAACAAACAATAAAAGGACACTAAACCGTGTTATATACGGTTTATGGTCTGATTAGTGTTTGATATCTTTTTTAGGAATGCATGATCATTTCTTTTATTCTCTATCCACGATATCAAATTAAAAAATAAGCAATAAATTCTTGGTTAGTAGGTGACTAAGATAACGAAACTCCTTAAGTAAGCAGAGTAAAATCAGAGGTCTCTACTTCTAAAAAATCAAACCAACCCATCAACACGTTTCAAAAGCTTCATCCAAGAAAAGGTAATGACCAAACAGTTCAATTTTTCTCGGAAACCAAACACATGGCAAGAAAGTTAGCACAATAGAGAGAATCACAAACCATGAAAAGGTAAGCCAGAACGATCCAAACGGCATTGTCCCGAGTGAAGATGAACTGAAGAACAAACCCGATAATCGAGAGCTGAATGAAGGCCCTAGCAATGGAGTAAATCATTTCTCTACCCAATCCCAGTTTCTGCATGTACGACAAGGCCACCGCCATGAGCACCACCACCGTCGCCGCCAGCGGCTTCACCATGCCCTTGAGAAAGTCCACCATCCATGACAAGTCCATGTTGCCCACAAACTCAGGTAAGGGAAGAACAACTTGGGCAGCAAATAGGCCTTGTATGAAATTGGACGGTGCAATGTCTGTGTGGTTTTGTGCGGTGGTGGAGAGGAGCGATGCCATTTGCTAGGAACTGATAACGAAATTCTGACTGCGACGAAAGAAATTAGTAATATGTGGTGAGAAAGAGAGAGAGAGAGAGAGAGAGAGAGAGAGAGAGAACGACGTTCCCCTGAAGTTCGAAATATATGGATGAGAGAGGAGAAACGACCTTCCCCTGAAGTTCGAATGATATGGTGGAGTTGACAACTCCAAGATTTTTAAGTACTTTTGCCCGTACCTTTTGGTATGACGGTTATCTGTCACATGTTTACAAAAGTTTTTTCTGACACACAACTAATCACAGTTTAAAAATATAAAATATAAGAGTAGGGCAAATATGTATTAGACGGTGTATTAACATTGCGGTCAGTTTTTTTAAAACCGTTCTTTTGCAAGATAGATCATAGGTAGCGAAAACGGTCGCTCTTTGGTATTTCTTGATCTCCGATCCTCACCCCTAACTCATTTTGGCCTCCATTTGCAATGAACTTGCACTCCATATATTCTGTCTTTGATCGGCTTAGGCGAAGACTTTTAGATTCCAACACTTCTCTCCAAAAGTTAAGCTTCGCATTTACCCCTCCTGAGTTTCATCTATCAACACTATATCGTCTACGAAAAGCATACACCAAGGAATATCATCTTGAATATGTCCTGTTAACTCATCCATTACCAACGCAAAAAGGTAAGGACTTAAGGATTGTTGATGCACAAAATCAGTGAGGACTTTGGTACAACAGAGAGTATTAAGTTTGTGATCTTCGCTAGATTGCTCTGATCATTAGTGTGGATAAGTATGTAAATGGATAGAGACAGGAAAGCAAACACAAGATGTACGTGGTTCACCCAGATTGGCTACGTCCACGGAGTAGAGGAGTTCTCATTAATTGTGAAGGGTTTACGCAAGTACATAGGTTCAAGCTCTCCTTTAGTGAGTACAAGTGAATGATTTAGTACAAATGATATAGGTGCAGGCTCTCGTATCACTTGCCTTAACTGTCTCATAGGTAGATGTGGCGTCTTCTCTGGAAGTACGCTTCCTCCATCCAGGGGTGGTATCTTTAACTGGTGGAGATGCCAAGGTAATGTATCAATTTCACTTGAAGCTTACTTGTAGTTTCAGGCTTGGTCAAGCGCGATACAAACCATGTAGTAAGAGTCCCCCAAGTCGCCGAGCTAGGGGATCTGCTGAAAGAGGTGACAGACAAGGTAAACAATCAGAGCTCCAAGCAATCAGTCCGAGATCAGAAGTTTGATTTCGAGTTCCGACTGATTGTTCTCATTCTCCCTATCTTGCAGGCAGCATGAAAGATAAAGAGAAGAAAAGGAGAATAGATGATATGAGATGTTTTTGCTTTTGAAGAAGTAACTTTCCACAGGCTTATTCTTGAACTGGGCTGGAGGATTTTCTGGTTTCCTCCAGAGTATAAGGCCGACTGAAGAATTTGAGGGTCAAAACACGTCTATCAAATCTAGAGTACGTTCGACCCTGCTGATATGGGATACTTTTGCTGTTGACAAAGTAGTGGATGTATCGGCACGTGTTCTGTTACGCTTGTCTCCACATGCTTCCTTGTATCCTTCTCACTTTCCCTATCTGTTCCTCAGGCAGATGTGGTATCTTATCTGGAAGCATAAGATGTTGAAGATGGGTACTCGAGAGCAATGCCAGGTAAGTAATCAGGTAAGGGGTTCCAGGCAGTCAGTTCCTGACTAGAAGCTTGATTCCAAGTGCTGACTGATTGCTCTCTTTCTCCTTGTCTTGCAGGTAAGAACAAGGCCAAAGGAAAAGATAGGGAAAAAGCATGATATGGGATACTCTTACTTTTAACCCTGATGATATGAGATATTCTTGCTCTGGTGTAGCTTGTTTGTAGAGGTATTATCGGGGAGAAAGAAAGCTGAGTATTTCGAGAGGCTTCGTTGGGAGTGCCCTCTCAGATATGAGGAAGGGTTGAGCATTTTTGCAGGTCTGCCTGTCCGTTGAGGATGGAGGTCGACATATATAGGAGTTTCCCTAACAACAAGTAGTAATGCTATTCTTTTACCCTGCTTGGTCATAGCACGGTAGTGGGAGCTGCCAATTTCACGTGTGTCAGAGCACTTTGAAAAAGTGGTATGTGGTATCTGGAAAGCTGATGTTGCGTGTGAAGATTACAGACAAGCTTTATCCAAGGAGATCTGGCTCTCGAAGTTGAGAAAGCGGTGCCTCCTCGGTTTTCGTACAAGCAATCCTGTCGAAGATCTGACTCTCGAGATTCAGAAAACGGTGCCTCTTCGATTTTTGAGAGAGCAATCCTGCTGGGAGTTTAGCTCTCGAGATTCGGAGAGCGGTGTCTCTTCGATTTTTGAGAAAGTAATCATGTTGGGAGTCTGGCTTTCGAGATTCGGAGGACGGTGCCTCTTCGATTTTGGAGCAAGCAATCTTGTTGGGAGTGTTTTCTCGAATGTAAGTAAAGGTTGGGCATGTTTGCTATTCTACCTTGCCACAGAGCACAGAGGTTGAACACAAGGACTTTCCAATTATCCAGCAGCGGTGCTGTTCCTTTACCCTTGTAGGTAATAATATGGTAGCTAGACCTTCAAAATTTATGTATCTAAACTTTGTTAGTGCTGTTTCTTTGCTATTCTTTTACCCTTCTTGGTCATAGCGATGTAGTGGGAGCTGCAAGCTTCACGTGTCTAAACTTTGTCAGAGATCTTTGGCCAAGTTATCTATGGTACCCATGAGCTGATGGTGCGTGTGGAAAGTGGATGATTGAACAGTAAGATTCACGTGCTTTCTACTTCACCAGAAATCTTCAACAGAATGCCCGTAATTTCAGCAAAGCTGAGTGTGCATGTGACAGGTGCTGACAAGGCTGAAAAAAGCAGGTGCCTCTTCGATTTCTGAGATCGGCCTTCGTGGTCTCTGAGCAGCCCAACTTTTGAGAAAGCAAGCGCCTCTTCGATTTCTGAGATCGACCTTCGTGGTCTTTGAGCAGCCCAGCTTTTGAGAAAGCAAACGCCTCTTCAATTTTTGAGATCGACCCTCGTGGTCTCTGAGCAGCCCATCTTTTGAGAAAGCAAACCCCTCTTCGATTTCTGAAGCTCCGTCGAGTGCAGATTTTTATAGAGGCTGGCATTAAGTTCCAAAGCACACTTGAATCTTCACCAGTAGAAGCTCCCTTCTTGCACTTCTAAGATCTTGATTTGTCCGACCTCTTCTCTCTTCAACACCTTTGAAAATGTCTGGCCCCTCCGACCGTCGTTTTGACTTGAACCTCGTTGAAGAGGCAGCCACGCCTTCTCCAGACAACATATGGCGCCCATCCTTCTTATCCCCTACTGGTCCGCTTACTGTTGGAGATTCCGTGATGAAGAATGATATGACTGTTGCGGTGGTGGCCAGGAACCTTCTCACTCCCAAAGATAACAGACTACTTTCCAAACGGTCTGATGAGTTGGCTGTTAAAGATTCTTTAGCTCTAAGTGTTCAGTGTGCAGGTTCTGTGTCTAATATGGCCCAGCGCCTATTTGTTCGAACCCGCCAAGTTGAATCATTAGCGGCTGAAGTGATGAGTCTCAAACAAGAGATTAGAGGGCTCAAGCATGAGAATAAACAGTTGCATCGGCTCGCACATGACTATGCTACAAACATGAAGAGGAAGCTTGACCAGATGAAGGAATATGATGGTCAGGTTTTACTTGATCATCAGCGGTTTGTGGGTTTGTTCCAAAGGCATTTATTGCCTTCGTCTTCTGGGGCTGTACCGCGTACTGAAGCTCCAAGTGATCAACCTTCGATGCCTCCTCCTTCTAGGGTTCTGTCCAGTACTGAGGCTCCGAATGATCCCTCTCCGGTGCCTTCTCTTTCTGGGGCTCTACCGACTGCTGAGACTTCTCCTAAGCAACCTTTGTGAAGATTCCCTCTTGTTTGTTTATTTTGACGCATGTATATGTACATATTTGTAACTTATCGGAGATATCAATAAATAAGTTTTGCTTCATTTCAACGTATTGTGTTAAATACACCAAAGCCTTCTTCACTGAGTGGGGTCGGCTATATGAATCTTAGAACGCCATTGTGCTCGGTCCTGTGTCATGTCCTCCTTTAGATATCCAAGGGCAATTTTGTAAAAATGTCAAATTTAAAATTCGTTTGATTAAAAAAGAACAGAAAAAAGAAAGGCGTGCTGGACTGAGGAGATATTCATTCCCCATCGTGCTTTGGCAGTTAACACAGAACACTCCAACACCCAACGCCCTGCGACCATAACGAGATCGTGCTTCACCATGATTGTCCTTCTCCTTCATCCACGTTCTGCTTTGGCAGGTCACAAATCTCACCTCCAACACCATTTATATTTGTAAACAAAACAGTAAAAAAACAGGAATAGATAGGAAAAAATAAGAAAAAACCGAAAAAACCGAAAAAACCAAGGACCTTTTTTCACCGTCAACTGCCCACACGCCAGTTTCTCAGAGTCATTAACTGCACACCGGCAGTTTGTTTGTAGTTGTGCAAAAATCAATGAGAAGGAGAATGAGGGCGAGGCGGAGGGATAAACAAATCGCCAAAGAGTCTTCCACCGTACAACTTCTCAACTTTCAATTTTAATCTTTTATTCTCAATTCTCAATCTAAAGCTTTTTCCTCGGTCTAATCTTTCTGCAATCTAGCCGGAAACGAAAAGGTCATGAGGAGCAAATCAAGGGAAAAAGACGGACGTCTATCAAAATGCCTTCCATTAATGAGCTTTTATCATCTTCCTATCCATCTTAATCTTTTATTTCTCAATCTCACTGTTTTGGGTTTACAAAGAGCAAAACAAGGAGAAGAGAACGAAGGCGGGGCGGCAGATAAAACAGAAAGACAGATAGACTTCGTCGGTACAACTTCTTAACCCTCAATCCACATCTTTTATTCTCAATCTCAATCTTTTTCCTCCTGTCATACTAATATTTTTGGTTTCTATATCTTTAGATTAATTCAAAAGGTTGTCTATGTTCCTCCTACCCATGAGTTTATTTTAATTAATTTAGTACAAATTTTCATTTTTGGTTTTTGGGTAATTAAAAGTTTGAAGCTTTATTTGTATAGTTAGTTTTGAAGTTGGTTTCACAGGGAAAATACGAAAGAAGTTGGTTTCACAAATACTGCTGAGTCATCCTTTTCTGTTTTGGGTTACATATCTTCGTCC